CAAAGTCACCTGACAACTTTTTCAGCTCAGAAGTGCCCACCTTATCGAGATCTCATACTTCATCATGAATTCATTTTCCAAAATGTTTGTCATGTATTATTTGTTCTTTTTCTCCCTTATGAATAAAGACAATCTTTTCTCTAAATCAATTCCTTTTGAGCATCTTGAATTGAACTTAAACTCAATGATTTATCTACTTATGCAAAAGATAATCGCATATTACTATACAAAGATTCATTGAAAAGTACAGGTACCCAGAAGCTGATCAAGGCTCATGCACATACTTGAGATGGTCGGGAAGTATTTCCCAAATCAAGAAACAAATAGAATGTGCACATAGATTTAAACATTTGAAGAATTCAAGATCAAGGATAAGAACTTCAAGATTTCAAAATTAAGAGTCAACAACGACAGGCAACCGGAGATCGAGATTTCTCTCCAAATCCCAAAATAATATATGTTGCATATGCATTTTAGGCACACCTAAGAGCATTGCATTCATAGCATCACATTTATGCATAACTTTTTCAGGTTTTAGCTAGAGTCAATTTCAACTTCACAGCGAAGGAGATTGGACTCGAAACGACACAATTTGCTCGAGAGTATATTTCAACTTCACGACGAAGGATATCTGACTCGAAGCCAAACTTTAAAACGAATGGGTCATCCATGGTTACAACTTCACGGCGAAGGGAATCGTGTCCACTCGCAACATACATTACTTGGATTTCAACTTCACGGCGAAAGATATTCAAGTCAAGGCTCAACTTCACGACGAAGGGGCCATCCGCGATTTCAACTCCACGACGGAGGATATCGTACCCACACATCCACGATTTCAACTCCACGACGGAGGATATCGTGCCGTTCGGGGCTCAACTTCACGAAGAATGAGCTTCCCAATTTCAAACCAATTTCAACTTCACAGTAAGGATATTGGAACCAAGCAACACAAGCTCAACTTCACGACGAAGGGGCGGCTGATTGTCAACAAACAACTTTCAGAGTCAATTTCAACTTCACAACGAAGGATATTAGACTCAAGACACACAAGCTCAACTTCACAGCGAAGGGGCGGCTGACTGTCAACAAATAATTTCCCAGTTCCAGAACCAATTTCAACTTCACGGCGGAGGATATTGAACTCAGAACAATACTTGGATTTCAACTTCACGACGAAGGATATCCAATTCTCAGGCTCAACTTCACGACGAAGGGGCCACCCACGATTTCAACTTCACGACGAAGGGAATCGTACACACAAGCAGCATCCATCTCTAGATTAGATTTCAACTTCACGACGAATGATATCCAACTCAAAGAAGGAATGTCTGTCAATAAACTTTTCAATTTCAGAGTCAATTTCAACTTCACGGTGGAGGATTTGGCCTCGAAACAACGCAGCCTATATTGGATTTCAACTTCACAACGAAGGATATCCAATTCCCAGGCTCAACTTCACGACGAAGGGGCCATATACAATTCCAAATTCACTAACAGATTGACTCAACTTCATGACGAAGGAGTCATCGTAACACAGCCACACCGAAGTCTTCAGGTCAAGTTTCACCTTCACGTCAAAGTATCTTGAGCAGAAGACGATCCAAAGACCACTCGCCAAGTGTTTTGAATCCTATTTCAACTTCACGACGAAGGATATGTGCTCAGAAGCTTTCAGTTTAACTTGACCTCACAACGAGGGAGTCATTTCATATTTCAGTTCAACCAATCGAATATCGAGTTTCAACTCTACGACAGATGATATTCGATATGACCGAAATTTGCGTCTTTTAATCTTTGCTCTATTTTCGTTACTCGATAATGAGCAAAGAGGGGCAGCTGAAGACACTAAATTTCATCCTTATATTATATAATATATATTTATATTATAAATTATATTATATATTTATTCACATTCTTTTTTTCCTTTTCAGGGCCCAACATGGACCAAACCCAAGTCCCACGTGACCAGTAAAGCAGCCCTAATCTCTCCAAGCCTCACCAGCACCGTTTACCCCCCGAGACCCCTCTTGCTCCACGCTTCTCATTGTGCTGCTTTTCACGGCCATTTCTCGCAAAGTTCAACAAGCACGAAGGATGTGTGTTAGCAGGACTCCAAAGCAACCAACTATCATTAGATTTCTAGTACGATTAGGAGTCTAAAAATAGAGTTTTTTTGTACTATAAATTAATGCTAGCAACACACGAATATGGGGGGATTGACAGGAAATACACATAAATTCACCATAGCAAACACAAAGGTCCAAGCACTTGTAGAGCATTTCGAAAAAGAAATAAAATAGGTATATTTTCCTTCTTTTTTTCTTTACCTTTGTTTCGGTTGGCTTTTGTTGCATGCATTCTATTTTCTTTGTTACAAACCCCCAAAAAAATGAGTTTTGGACCGATGAACGGATGGGCGTCCTCGAGATCTTCATTTGTAGATCTAGCCCCCGAGGTCTATAATCTTTGAAAAATGTTTGGATTTCGAAATGGGGGTTCAAAGAGCTTTAAAAAATGAATTTTTTTTGGGATTTGCCGCCGAAGAACGGCGGTGGCGAGACGGCTTGGGGTGGCCAACGGCCGGAATCTGGAAACCAGACGGCGGTGTGTTCATCCTGGATGAACTGAAGGGAGGAAAACATGAACAATGGGGGGACTCTTTTGTTTTCAAGTGAAGAGAATGAAAGTTTTAAATAATTTTTTAACATATATACTCGGCCTGTTGACCTAATTCGACCCGCACGCGACCCGGCCCTGGTGCTAAAGACCCGCGTGTTTTTTTTAAATGGGGTAAACTTCACTTTTAGTCCCTCTAATTTTAAAACGCCCCCTTTTGACCCCCAAAATCAATTTTTCAAACTCCAATTCCCTTTTAATTTGGCCACTCGATTTGCCTTTCCTTTCAATATAACCCCTTTTTCGTTTCAAGATCTAAATTTAATTTTAAAATGCCCTTTGAATTTATTTATTTTTTCTTTCGATTTAATCATTTTTAGTATTTTTAAATACTTATTATTACTATTATTTTATATACCTTATTTATAAGTCATTATATATGTTTATAACTAATATCATTATTATTATTATTATTATTTACTATTTACGTATAAATATATTATCATTATTTTTTTCTTTTTTTCCTCGTTTTTATTACTATTATCGTGTATATATATATATATATATATATTCTTTTGTTTTTTTCTTGGTTTTCCTCAACAACAAAACCCAATTCCCATATGCAATGGGGTAAGGGGGAGGTAGGGTAGTAGGCTGCCCCCAACGCCAGGTTGAGAGTAGCTTCCGTAGAAGACCTCCGGCAGTCAGAAAATTAAAAATATAGATAAAATGCAAAGCATGTATAAATAAATACATAAATACATAGTTGAACAATATTCATATGCAGTCATAAATATCATTAATATTATATGCGCGTTTGAAATGGGAAGTAATCCCTGCAAATAAATCCTGCGAAAAAATCTCTGCATATAGACAGAAACGTATGTGTGTGTATATATATATATTTTCTTTGTTTCTTTTAATTATTAAATATTATATTATAGAGGGTCCCTTTTTTTGTTTGGTTTCTACTAAAGTCCCCCCCCCTTTTTTTGTGAAGTGATGGGGTAGGTTTTCTTTTAAATATTTATTATATATATATATATATAGTTTACATGTTTTATTTGTATTTTGATGTATATACATATTTTCCTTTTCAAATAGTATTATATGTACATATTATTTTGTTACTTTTTTCTTATTTATTATTTATTTATTTATCTTCTCTTTATTTTTTTTATTTCCTTTATCTTTGATTTATTTACTCATTTTTATTTATTCATTTATTTATGTATATATTGTCTTTGCTCTTTCTTATCTCGTTTTATTCTTTTTCCTTTTATTTTATTTTATTTATATTATTTGTTTTCTTTACTCTAACACATTCACTTTTAAAGGGTATAAATTTCAAATCAATATATGGTAAGTAATTAGGATGAGAGTTTTACCTTTCAATTTAAACTTTCAATTTTTCTTAATTTAAGACAACTGTAAATTACATAGTACCGAAAGGACAGTTCAATGGTGCTAATCCTTCCTTGACTGTAACCGACTCCCGAATCCGACATATCATTGAAGACGCAAATTAAGTAAGAAGTAAGGTATTCGGTCAACCTATTTACTTTTAAATAAATTATCTGTGGCGACTCCTAATCATTTAATCCAAGTCGAAACCAATTCAGGAGCCCACCCGAAAGACTGTTCCGATGAGAGAATAAAATAAATCCGTTGATATCAAAAGTGATTAAAAATGACACCATAAAATAAATATTACAACTTTGTCGATAAACTGTAAAACTTATTAACTAAATTTAATTCAATAACGTCATTATTAATATATTTTATAAAAACTATAAAATAATTAAATATATTTAAACTTTTAATATTCTTCAATTCAAAGATAGAAAGGTTTAAATAATCTAAATGTTATATAAAAATGATTATTTTGATTTTATATTAGCAAAAAAATAAAAAACAAAATTATAGGTAAAGAAGATGTTTTTCTTCTAAGTTAATATTCTAGAACTTGATTTTCCAGAGTGATGCCAGATCCATGTTCCTGATTATATTGGTTTTAATAATGTGGTAGACAGAAATGGTATCAAGCAATAAAAGGAAGAAAGTATATTTTCTCTCTTTCACATACCATACGAGTGAGTCAAATGATGGGCAATCAAACCAGTCTATATAGATGCTGCAGCATAGAGCGAATCATTCAGAAACAATACGAACAAATCATAAGCAAGTCTTATATTTAGAGAATTTTAACAAGCCCTGTGAATTTTCTTTTTCCTTGAAAGTAAATTCTGATTGAACAAAAATCTTTGCCATGAAATCTAAGACCTCCAAGCAAATAGAACCGAACACACAAGCAGGCCACACACCACTATTCTTCTTCAAATGCGTTTTGGCTAGTCAGTCGCCTGTGCCATGGGCTTTATTTTAGTGTAATGCCATCTTTATGTTAGAGCTTTCTTTACCTCAGCAGCAGCGACAAACAATACGGTGATGCACCAACAGCCGTTCTGGACCTTTTAATTGTTGGGGTTCAAAAAGAGTTACCTTGCATTATCAGTAAGTAGATTCATGAGATGGAATATCGGAATGCATGTCCATCAAGGTGTCACTGGAGCTGAGAGGATTAGAATCTCTAGTTTGGTTCTGGAGAAAGCTAGTTTCATTATTCCTGGCTCCATTTCCTGAAGGAACACCACTGTTGGGACAGTAACCTTCTTGAGCAATATGGTAATGCTGGAGACTCCGACGGACGGGACTTGATAAAGCATTTGAGAAAACTAAATTCTTGGACTGCTGATCACACTGGTCAGGGCGAATTCCCTGCCCAGCAATTTGACCAGATGAACCTGAAGACACCATGAAACTTGTATTCATGAACTGCATCGTAGGTTGGGGATGCAGCTGTTGGATTGGTGCTCTAGGTGACATTGATGGCTCTTCACCATAGTCTAGTCATTCTACAAGAAGATTGCATGATGTTCAGGCAGAATATTATAAAGATAAATTATTCATTATCACAAAAAGAAAGGATCAGAAAGCACACAAAGGGTTAGTCATGCTAAAAGGTTCATAAGAAGATTCCCATATTCCAGAAAGGAGGAGCTATCCTTGCAATCTTTGCAACAAAAATACTAGCGGTTGCACAAACCTTTAAAGGCACTAGAAGACTCAAAAACTAACAATTGCCCTATTACAAGGCAAACATTACTTTTCACCATTATGATAAATTGATAATGATGTCACTCAAGGATAGTTGGCATCCAGTCGATTAGGTGCAGACTCAACTACTGAAGAACATAATCTATCTTGTAAAGCCTTTCACTCTTTCTGATGCAAAATATGAGAGCTAAACAAAAAAGATTTGTAATACGAGACATAACTAAGTAAATGTGTAGGTTTCTAACATATGAATAACATACTTTTTGTTATTTAATGTGCAGTAAATATATTAAAGTTTCTGTTCACAGCAGTGAACATTGTCTTGTTTATTTGTCTTATTTTATTTATATAAGCAGTTGAGAGACACTTGGACAACTTACACTGCCTACTAAATTTTAGGTTAATACAATCGCGTATACCATGTTGTAAAGGAGAGAGAATCAACAAGAACATATCAAAAGGTCCCTGCATGTCTATGTTCTGTGTTTGCAGCTGTAATGGCAACTCTTCATGAGAGTCATTGATCTATAAGTGTTCTTCTTAGTTTAAAAGAAGACCTTTAACCAGCCAACATTATCAACCTAAGTTAAGAAAAATTACTGAAAATCAGCATGCTGCATGTGACATATTCTAATATAAGTCCTATAAAGGATTTCAATGAGCAAGTTGGTTGAATTACTAAAGCAAAGTGAGATAAGGAAATCTTATTTGATGTGCTAAGAATCAAAAACAAAGAAAACAATGAATTCACCCAATTCCGAAGACCCGGGAACTCAACTGAAACTTATTATGAAGATACAGGGTCTTTTGTTTTATTTTAATCATATGCAGAAATATTCACATTTAACAAATCAATGAAATAAATTTGAAGGTTGTATCATTAATCAGAAAAAATATGCAAAACGGGATCCGAGGTTTTCAAAACTATACGGCTCCATGTTAGTACCCTATTGCAACAAGGAAGACTTTCATACTCTCAGAATTGACTAACTTAAATACAACTATATTAAAACACCTCCTCCGAGCAATGGAACCAAGAAACAAGTAAATATAGATAATTTCCTTTTTCCTTGTAAACAAGGAAAAAACCTATGCTCGGTACAATTCTCATCACACATTGCATCTCATCGCTTCCAAAAAAGTTAAATGTCTAAACAGCAGTACAGTGCAATGCACAAGGTCTAATTTCCAACTTTAAAGTATGTTTACTATTGGTCAAAACTCAAAATTATTTGCAAAATAATTTGGAAACAATGGAAAAAGCACGCAGGCATTAATTAATCCAAATGTTGTTTATATTCTGATAAGAGTCTTAGATACTAGATAGAATGATAACCAGATGGATCTAAATATCACAAGTTTGTACATGGTAAATACCGTAAAATGTATAATACACAGAGAAAGGAGGAAGAGCTATGTCATTAAAAAACAACCAAGAGAAAGGGATATTTCATTCAACCTTGAGATGAATACTTAGGATCAAATTTTCATGAGATACATTAAAACTAAAACAGCATTAGCTTACACACACTCATAGAGTAAAGATTAAAAAATATTCAAAGACGAACAAACCTGAAGGTAACTGACGATATCCAGTGTTGTTACTCTTGATCCTCCCTCTTGTTGTCTCCAGATCCACTGATAAATTTTTTCCTGAAATCAAGTCGGGATAAATGTATTAGCAGAACTCCTAAAATTTCACAGCTGAATTTAAAATTCGGTAGATTTTTTCCCCTTAAATCCAATGGACAAATAGAGGCTGGAATTCAGCCATATAGATACCAAAGAAAACTTTACAGTTGAAAATTTAAAATTCGGTAGATTTTACAGTCAATATTGTGTGAACTAAGCAAAGACCTTTTCTCTCTTAACAAAGGAATGAGTAACATTTACAAGACATCAAAAGTCCTCGTTTTACACTCGAATGCTGTGTGAACTAAGAAAGACCTTTACTCTTGACAAAGGAATAAGTAAAAATTTATAAGACATCAAAAGTCCTCGTTGGAAAAACTTCCAAATCGAATTATGATTCTAAAGCAGGCCTGAGCATATTCGAGTGAGTTGACTTCACCAAGATTTATTAGCTACTGTCAAGCTGGCAGTACACCCCTCCAATTTTCAATCACGTTCATTAACACTAGAAAAGTTTAACATCAATATCCCTAGTAAGGGTTTTAAGAAGTTGGTTGCATGATCAGTAGCTAACAAGTTTCAAGCGTTCAAAAGGAAAATGCTTAAGGAAGAAATATATTAGTTTCATTAGCTTCACTTTTATGCTGCCTACGGAAGAGAAAACTATAATCTTATCCTTCAACAAGGATGAAAACATGATCTGATTCGCACAATATGAATTTTCACAGCTGAGGCACTGCAATTAGCGAGTATTGAGCTGGAAATAAATAAATAAATCCTTTTGTCGATATTAATTTACCATGACTTACAAGCATCCTGTACCAATCACTTCCACTCTTTTATAAATGCACAACATAAGAAAACAATAGCATTTCTTCTTTATATATATATATCATTTAGGTTTTTCATCCAAACCAAAATGCACCACACTATGTTAAAAGGTAACACACACACACAAATGCTATACAGAACACACAAGCAAATAGTGAGCTAATAAATTTAATCCAAATCATTAAACCCCTAGGGACTGTTTGGTTCGGAGAATGTGGAATTCTCATAAGAATGGAATCCAAATTCCCCGTTTGGTTGGCCGGTAAGCTCATTCCCGGTAATGTTTTATTACCAATAATAGATTTTTTGGGCATATTATCGGGAATGTCATTACTCCTTCCCTTAGGTATTGTTGGATTACCTGCGTTTTGAACTAAAATGCCCTTAAAAAAAATTTATTCAAAAATATCATTTTATGTCATTGAATAATAAAAATTCTACAAAAGTTAAATTACAAATTTATCCTTAAACTATTTTAAATTTACAAAAAAAAATCTATAATTAAAATTTTATATGAAATCTAGGTGTTAAAATAAAATTTTAATTTTTCATTAAACCTTTTTATATTTTTAATTTTGTAAAAAAAATTATATAAATTTTATGAATTTAAATTTTTTAAAAAAATATATAAATATTTTCTAACTTGTTAAAAAAATAAATATATAATAAGGTTAATTTGATCAAATATGCATTCTAATAGTAATCTTAAATTTCTGCTAAACCATCCAAACACAAAATACAACATTATCAATTATCATATTGCCTTGCCTGCTAATTTTTTATTCTCTCTAATAATCTTAAGCGTGATTGATCAAAATCATTAACTTTGAGCCTCTCGAAGATAGATACGTAATAAGACGCAAAACCCAGATGCAAAAACGGATATAAAAAATTCATAAAGCTAAGGTTTCATGCAAATAAAAAAACCCAAAAATAAAGGAATATTTGTTATATGTGGGGGAGTGGAGATGTAGAGAGAGATTACAAGGCCATGGCGTTTGCCGGCTTGGAAGGAGAGTTTTTGTTGATTCATGGCCTGAGTATAAAGCTGAGACAAGGAATTAGCGCCGCTGGAAAACGAGGCGTATATAGTCCGATCCACCTCATCAAGGCTCGTAGCTATCGACTTCCTTTTCTTCCCCATATTTCCTGATTCCCTCTCTCCTGCGATCGACAACGTTTTCAGTTGGTTTAGGCGATCGATGAAAAGAGAGAATTTTCACCTTTTCATTTTTCTATAAATTTTCCAACTTTCAAGCTTCTGAAGAAGAATAGAGAGAAAGGTGGCTTCATTTATATATACTTGCTCTAAAGCGGAAGGTTGAAGAAGGGACACATCTTGGCATCGCAGTTGGGCCATTGATAGGAAAAAGCCCGTTTGGATCGCTTCATATTTTTTGTCTGTCATTGCAAACCGCCTATAAACTAACCTAATTTGGATTCAAGAAACTTCGAGTATTTAATTGTTTAAGCTCAAATCTGAGTACTTTGCGTTGTTCAGTGAATCCACAATTCTGTTTGTGCAAGGATTACCGATAAAAAAATTCTTTTTCCATTCCAGGAATATAATTTATATACAATTTTTTCATGCCTCTGTTCAACTACTTCAAAACCTTACATTCTATTGTAAGATTTAGGTCATGAGTTACTAGTTCAAATCAGTGTTCATCGAAGAGACAACATACAATGAGGTATCTTCGATCAAATTAAGCAGAATTTTTTTTGGTTTGAAAAGATGTATAGTTCATACTATTTGTGATATAACACAAATCTTCTTTGCATCAACAATGGTTATGATATCTTATTAGTTGCTTCCCCATAATTCTCCACCAAAGTTTATTTGATGTTTTTATTGGAAAATTACTTGAGCTGAACATATTGCAAACATAAACTACGAGCTAAAGGTTAACACAAATGCAAGGCACTGATTATTAAACAAAATTTGATTCAAACACTACTCTAATTGTCTTGAAACAAGGGAAAAACACACCCAAAATTTGTCCTCCTGCAGACAATGCTTACAAGCAAGGAAATAAACTGAGAGAGAATATATATTTTGTTTAAATATATATGAAGCCTTCAACGCTTCTTAGACACACCAACAGTCTTCCCTCTGCGACCAGTCGTCTTGGTGTGCTGACCACGGACACGAAGTCCCCAGTAGTGCCTCAGACCACGGTGGTTCCTGAAAGACAGTGTATAAATTGTTAGCTGCCATCTATTCTAGACTCATTCCCCAATAGACAGAAACTAACCATAAAACCAAACCAAATCAAACCAGGACAAATACTTCTCTCAAGAATTTCTTAATCATACAGCAAACGAAACAAGGACAAACAGAGGAAGGTACAGGAGAGTACTTTTAGCTAGGTAACGTTTATACAAACATCAAGATAATATAAAGACTAATTTTTCACATAACAACAATAACCTGCCTACCAACGAGCCTCGAAGCTGGTAAGAAACAGCCCAAATGTTGAGACATTCCAACAAACTTGCCTACTTACATAATAAATTAATAACCCAACGGAAAGACATCAAAACATGTATTATTCTGCCTCAAGTATGATGCTGCACAAGAGAATGCCTCAAATAAACAGCCCAAATTATTTTCTCACGTCAGAAAATGCTAATAGTGAAGGATATGTTATAACACTGAGACAAACATAAATCGAACACTAAAAGTCATGTTAGAAAGAGTTGGATTGATTGTATCTCTTAAAGCATCACATGGTTGGCACATACAAAAGAAGTTACAAGATCAACTCCAGCACAAACAGCAAGAAAAAAAGGAATTAACCTGATCTTCTTCAAGCGCTCCAAATCATCTCTCAACTTCATGTCAAGAGCATTAGACACAACTTGGGAATACTTTCCATCCTTATAATCCTTCTGCCTATTCAAAAACCAGTCGGGGATTTTAAACTGCCTCGGGTTTGCAACAATGGTCATGAGGTTGTCCAGCTCCTGTGCGGTCAATTCACCGGCCCTTATAACAAGAAATAAATCAATAACATGTCCTTGACAAACTACTCAAACTGAACATTTAAAAAAATCCCCATGCCCTCACAACTTATACTTTACTGTACATAATAGAAGCCTAGCAAATAAGTTAATCTAAAGTAAACTAATCACCATACAAATCTATGCATAATCATCTCAACAATAAACCCCTATAACCAAAACATTTATCATCCATCTAATCTTAGACGCCATAAAGCATCATATTCATCCCCATACTAAGCCTAAAATTGACATAAAATTGCATTGCATTGTACAAAAATTCCAGAAACAAAAAGCAAACCTCTTGTTCATGTCTACATCGGCCTTCTTGCAAACGATGTTAGCGAAACGCCTTCCAATACCCTTGATGGAAGTCATAGCGAACATAATTTTCTGCTTTCCATCAACGTTGGTGTTTAGCACACGCAAAATGTGCTGAAAATCTTCGTTGGCCACCAGAGACTACACAGGAAAACATTATTATTATTATTATTATTATTATTATTATTATTATTATTATTATTATTATTTAACACAGGAAAACATTAAAATGTTGTTAAAAGCAGCAATCTTTTGTTTAAAAAAATCTGAACTTAAATCAAGTAAAAGACATTTAATGAACGCTCATAAAAACCTCGTTCCACCCAAATATATATGAAGTAAATTTAGATCAGAAACTGAATTAGATAAAGCAAAATAAAAAGCTGCGAAAAGAAGAATTAATCAATTAATGGAGAGAATTGTAAAGATACGGATTGAGAAGAAAAGGAAAAAAAATACAAAATACCATTTCGTGAGGAATGAGATCTGAGGAGAGAGAATACAAGAGCCTCTGGAAGACTGGTTTGCTGAAGAGAGTAACGAAAGTAGGTAAAGTAGGGTTTTATATATTCACGATTCTTCGTTTTCAAGGGTCATTAGTTTTACGTTTTATTATTTGGATAAATTCTATATTAATACCTATTTTATATATAGACTATTTATTTAGTCCAAATACTTTAATTTGATCATTTTTAACTCCTGAAATTTGTTTCAGATTTTAAATTTTAGTCTTAATTTAAATAATAATTGTAAAATATGTCAAATTAAACTTTATTTTTAATACTTATATTTTATATAAACTGTTGATGATTTTAAATATTATAATTCAATAATATTACCAATGCACTAATTGAGTTAGGAATAGGATTTTAAATTTTGAAAAGTACATGATTCAAATTAATCAAATTAGAGTATAAGGATTAAATCTACAACATATGCATAGTATAAGAATTAACCATAAAGTTTGACCTATTATTTTCTTAAATTTTATAGTTTCTCATTCTTTTTCTTGGTTTAAAAATTAACTGTATTTTTTACTGAAAAATACTTTTAAAAATTAAGATAAAAATCTTTTTAGGTATTTAGGTACAATGTCATATTCAATATTTTTTTTATAATTAAGCACTTTATTTTTTTAAATGGTGTAATAATTTTAAAATTATACATTATGTATTCTTACTTATAATTTAGGGTTTTTTAATTGATAAAATCACAAATAAATACTCGAAATTTATTTCAATCTTTATCCATTTGCAAACAAGATCGCGTTAAATTAAAAAAAATAAAACACAACTAAATATTCGAATTACCTACCTACAACAAAACTGAGACAGTTGATCAATTAAATAAAGCAGGCAGAAAAAGAAAACTAAATATTTTATCAACTGATATGCTAAACGAAACTGAATCATACAGCCACTTCCATCATTGTAATGGAATAACCGTGCAAGTTAAACTGAAATTATATTTCATAATCCGACAAACAAATCGAAACCTGGGTCTAAATATCATACAAAGCTAAAGCTTAACGCAAAGTAAGATTAGACAAATGAAATGAAACTTCAGTGTGGCATCCTATCATATAGCACTACCCTGCTCGAACAGTTTCATGGCATCCTTCAGTGTGGCTCAAGCAATTTGAAGAGGGTCTAATTCTTCTTTGTAGTCTCAGTTTTTTAGAAAGAAAAGGGTATTTTATACTGATAATCCGTAAGTTAATCGATGTTATATAGATATATTACAGCCTAATTCTTTGGCGGCGGTGTCGAGAGATTGTATAGGCATTCCTCTTGCAAGCTGACCATAAGCTTCCCAAGTTAAGCACTTTTCGATATCAGTTTGCCAGTCAATGGCACCTATATTGAAGTATTGATAAGAAGTGCCATGCAAGCCATTTAGTTCCACCTTAGACTTAGAATCGATCGAACCTATGTGCAAAATATTGCGAAGGACTGATGTGCTGAGAGCTCGAACATGTGCACTTGTATGAGAAAGGCATCGAGTTGTAGCTGGTAGACGACACTGCATGGATACAGAGATTAAGGGCTTAAATCAGCTTACGAAAGGAGACCATTGTTTCCGTGTTAATGGACATTGGTATTTATAAATAACAAGTTCAAAGCATGTTTTAGACTTTAAGCTTAAGAATATGACGAATTGACTAAGCCAATAAAGGGCATTTTGCTCACCTTTAACAGGTTTGAAAGTCCATCTGCCACTGCCAGTCCAGATTCTCCCCACTCGAGTACTGGCTGGACTGCTCTAGCTGTTGCTTCCAGCAGCTGGATAAAAAAGATTGAAGACATTAACCAAGCTTTGAAACAAATTCAAATGCATTTGACTTGACTTATTTGCAAGATAAGACCCGTTAACACTCCAATATGTGTAGCTTTACAAGGGTCTTTACACAGAAGACCTTCGAAGGGGTAATAGGGAAGAAGAATATAATATACCCGAGTTCTAATACCATGTTAAGCGTCCAATCCAAAATCGATTGATGCAAGTGAAGAGGCTTAACTTGAATATAATTAGATTATACGAAACCCAAAAATTAACAAATGCGGGACAATAGCCATCGACTTCACACAAATGTTCAATAGAAAGATGCAGTGATTGGCAAATGACCATCTATAAGCAACAATAATCAGATAGAGTACCTCCAGTTGCGGTAAAGTACAAGCTTCCCCATCAACAAGCATCCCATCTGTAGCACGAAGAAGTAGATCAGAAGCACTTGCTACAATTACCAATGATTCTGGGCTATCATGGTTTCTCATCAGTTCCACGATCAACTTTACAATCCGCTGGTTGATTCTCCACATCTTCTGACCTTGATCATCATCTTTGGCAATCCAAGGTTGTAATTCCCTATCCGCCTGACAAGAACACAAGGCCATGAAAGTGACCAAACAGAGTAAATAAAGTTTAAAAAAACACAAAAGCTAAACAAGGAATTTTATGGCTGCTGGCTTGGACACGCAAGCTAAACCAAATGTTTTATCACAAATATTACCTTGATTACAAATTGATATCATCTTTTACAAAAGGCATTGTGTTCAAATCAGCAGACATAAAGAAAAGCACTAGAACCTGTTATTTTAAATATATATATATATATAGACTAAAATTCACAAGATGAACAAAGTTTGGACCTGAAGTACAACTGCTGTAGTTGCTTTTGTCGGTGAAGCTGATACAACATTGCACAATGCATCAACCACCTAATTCCATCCAAGTAGGCAAGTCAGACAAATATATTTCAATGAAAGAATTTACAGATGAAACATAGGACAATTACATGCATAACAGAACATTACTAATCCACACAAGTATCACAAACCATATCTTCTATTTAGAAATAATAAAAAATTCTAAGGAATCAGTTAAGGTGAATCTTTTTATATAAACAAGTGAAGAATACCTGTCTCCATCCTTGCTGGGCAGATGTGCTTTCAGCACTGAGCTGTGTTTCAGGGGCTGCTATCATCTTGTGCCACAGTAGTGAAACAACAGAGAAACATAACTCTTGTTTCTCCACAAGCACTGATCTCAGAAGAATTTGTGCACTGCAATTGAATCCTATGTGCCTGTCCCTTGTGAGAAAATTGGCCAAATCTGAGGCATCTATCGGGAAACTTGTGATACCTTTGCCCAAGGAATTTCCTGAGCCTTCATTTGATGCTAACAGCCTCTCACATCTGAGATTATTGTTTGAATGAGTTGAATCTTCAAATTCTGAAGTAGATGACTGTCCAGGATCAAAGCAAGTGGCACGCGAACACTTGTTTTGTTTTCTGTCATCTAAACAAGGGGAAGATTTCCTAACAGGTGCATATATCAGTTGTGCTTCTAATGGTTCAGCCTTGTTAACAATGGATGCGACAGCCTTGCTGTGAATATCAATGAGATTATATAATGATGATGCCCTGGAGTAGATTTCATTATCCCACTTGCATCGCATTAGGACAGAGAGTGCATACATGCAAGCCTTTGACCGTCTAAATAGTTCAGAAACATGAGCAGCAACCATAGCTGCAGCAACTATTTCATTTGAACTATAACCCCACGAGGTGCCAACAGAAGATGGCTTTAGCGAAAAAAGTGCCTCTAAAATTGCCAAGATTCTGTGAGTATGATGGATAGCTGAGTCAATACCATGTCCATACTCGATAGAAGATCCATTTACATTTACAGGGTTGACCGTAGCTTGAACATCTATAGAAGTTGATTGATTATTTCCTCTTGTAACCAAAGGGAACAACTGAAGCTCGCAGGCAAGAGCACAAACAGCAGCCAGCACATAAGAATCAAACGCAGCTACAGGGCCTTGTTTTTTTGCTTTTCTGGATTTTATGTTCTTCAGCTTTTCAGATTGTGCCTGTGATTCCTCAATGCCCTCATCAGGAGGAAAACTTTCTTCACCTCTTGGTCTCTTACTCCCCTTGAACTGAGCTTCATGGCTAACGCACACAGTCAAGACAACAAAAAGTAGGCGTGAAGCAAGCTCTATAGAAGCACATGATTCCAAAAAGAGGGAATGCACCATTGTACGAAGCTCCGCCACAGCAAGATTCTTTGAGGCAGACCCTATGCTGTATCTTGTTTTTCTGGTTTGCTCCCTGGAGGGTTCAGGTGGAAAAGTTCTCTGTAGAATTGCTTCAACAGTCGCCACAAATATCTTCATGAGACATGCTTCAGAAGGACTTCCACGTGGAAGGTATTCCAGGACCTTCAGAAGTGGTATGTATAGGTTCCACGATAATACAGGAGGTTGCAACGGGGTTGAAACAATAATTTCTGGAAGATCAACAGCCGAAGAGCTCAAGGGAATCAGGCCATAAGCAGCTTCCCATATGGTACATATTCTCCATTCCACCTCCGGTCCATGAGCACAAAGCATTGACGCGATCCCTTGGGCAGTAGCTTCAATAGTTGCTTCAGCCGCAGGAACCTCAATCTGATGAACAATGTTGAGATTTTTTTTCAGTATTTGTGAACAGGCATCATTGTATGTATAAATTCATGCATATTAACTACTTATATGCAAAGAGAAACAAAAAAGTTAAAGAATAGAAGATCACATGCAAAATTTTGAAGTTGACCAGCAATACCTGCTTTCTATAGCACGATATATAACAACCAGAAGGTTCATGTTGAACTTCTACTCCCTCAACTTGTCTTATTGGAGGAAAAAGCAATGCAGGCTGTGAAAGTATGCGAAAAAGTAAAGCTGCGGCAGTATCAGCAGCAATACCCGCTCTCATAGACATTGCAGTCCCAATTGCCCGCAAAAAATGCAAATGCATCCAATTTCGAGGAAGCTACAGCAACATCCATAAAAGCAATTTGCTAAGACAAATGGAATGATGATAATAGAAAGCGTTATTGCATCATTTTTGAAAAATATAATTATATGTTTTTTTTCTGAATGAACATTTGGTACCAGATCAGAATGCTTCCTCATAAACAACTTTATATTACGGCATATGCTCCACACTTTACTGACATTCACACAAGATTGCACTCCACCACATT